TCGCTACAGTATAAAAACTTCATAGTATTACACAGAGGTCAAGGCTGTCCTAAGCACCTCATCATTTGCCCTAGTAATAAAACCATTATTCATTGCACTTAGAGCTTCCTCCAACATTAAAGGAATCCATAGATGGGGCAATGAGCATACAGTATCGTTATATACTAATGAATAATTAGTAAATAGCTGCGATTGTAACTTCTAAATTACCCCTTTTTTCAAGACAATACAAAATTTGGCCTTACAACAGCTTATAGTCTCACTCCTCTTCATTATAGTCACCCTTTTCTTCCATCTAAGTTAGACTCGCTTAACAATGGCATTTCCAACATTGGTCAATCATACATTGAAGGGGTTTTTGGAAGCCCCAGGGATGTATTTGAGATAAACAACAACCATCAATCTCACCTGTTGTGCTATTTTAAGGCACGACATTTTGCTAAATCTATAAACCCATTAAGAGAAAAAAGGGAAAACAGCCACGCATTATATTACAGTCCACTTACCTTATTCACCGTCATGTAAAATGCATGATGTAGTTTCACTCATTACTGTTATGTGTAGCTAAAACTAATATAAGAGAGTATTCTCAATTGAAAAGCTGCACCCACACTAGAGATGTCACATTTATATCTCATACAACAATGTATTATGTGAAAGTTAAGAAATGCATCGATATTAGCAGCATACTAGATTTCACTACGATTACTGTGGCCAAGAGTTAATGATAAGGATATTATCACGATATCTATAGAAAATTTGAAATAAATGCCACCTGTTCTCCCCTTTCTTTTTTGTTTCCACTGCTATACCATGAAGGAAACTAAAGTATCACTTATTTCTCCTTTGCTCTGTAATACTCTGTCGTTCCTCCAGTGTTCCTTATACTCGTGTCTCCCTCCACTGTACGTACACTGACGAGGGCTTCCAGTAGAAACTTCCAGGCTTCCAGTATTTTATTGGTATTCATCCAACATCACAAAAAATTAAAGTCTGTTGTTGTGTGACCACAGATTATTCCAAGGTGGTTGGTCCTTGTGTTAAATTGTAGTCAGAGCGGATTAACAGCCTATGTTAGTAACTCACTACTCCACTATTCTACATTTTAGAGGGAGATATTGTAATTTTACTCAGTTCTCTGACAGCTGGACATCAAGATATTTCATAAAGACCCATGATGACATTTATAAAACACAACATTAAAGATTAACCCAGTGGTTCCCAACATTTGTAGCTTTTTTGTTTATCTTAAATTAAATTAAATGTTAAATATAAAGCAGCCAAAAAATGTCAGTGTTCCAAAACTAACAAGAGTTTAAAGCTTTACACAGATTGTGTCTGAACAACAAAATAAACACAGGTGTTACATTAGGCCAATACAGTATAATCACTTCCATTTCTTTTTCTACAGAACACAAACATACAGCGACATAAAGATGCACATTTGTTTTATTCAGAAGTTTGGATACAAACATAAACATGATTAAAATGGCTTATTTTCCATTGATTGGCTTCAATTAGGTGGCAAGGTGACAAGAAAAGATGGAGATAAGAACTCCTGTCTCCATTTTAACAAATACAATCTGAATATTACTCAAGTTGACGATATCTGTTACTGTACTTTATGTCTCTTTAAGTACAATAACAAGTAAAAGGCCAGTAAGTCATTTATCAAATCACCTGTTCAACAAGCATCTAGAAAAGCCACAACCACAACGCGCTGGTTAAGCTAATAGCAAATTATTATGAAGAAGCTAAAGCGAAAGCTGTCTCTATACAAGTGTAAGTGATTATCTCAGCCAGTCGCTCAGTTTACAACAGTCTGCCACTTTTTAAGATTCATAACAAAGTGAGACAAACGAACCTCCTCTCCCTCTACCAGAGAAGACGAGGACAGAGGACGGGAGGAAGGACTGATTGAGGTCTGTGTTCCTCATTCTGTCTAAACCTCATTCAGTATGTTCATGTCAGATATTTATTTTACTGACATTTAAGATGTGTTTCCAGCTCGAAGTTATTGACTTTATAGTGAACGTTACTGTTGCTGATAGAAATTAGTATTTAGTTTTACTTAAAATATAAATTGATTCTAATCCTGACATTAATTTATTCTTTTAAACAAATAGCAATAAAAAAAACAAAAATTCTTTAGTATAGAGAAAGAACCAGTAATAGTCTGAGCCGGATCAATAAGGATATGGATAAGATAAAGATAAAATTCTAACGATACTCATCCCTACAGCTGGTTAGTGACCGACTTTGGGAGGAGGCACAAATCCCTTCACTGTAAGTTTGGATGTGTGAAGGATGACTTCATTCGACTAACTGGTAAACTAGTTAATCGATTAATCGATAGAAAAATAAGCGTCAGTGGCAGCCCGATCATATCCTACTAATACATGTCACTAACCTGGCTTCTCTGTCCTCCTGCAGATTACTATTTCTGCCTGCGGCGCACCAGAGTCTGCAAACCTGCTTCTGCCCCATGATCCTGCCACTCAGGCATTTTCAAGATGTAACACAGCAACGTTAACGCCAAGTACATTTTAACTGACTTACTGTACTTTTATCTGAGACATTTTTACATGTAATTTTACTTCAACTTAAGTCACATTTCAGCACTTTTACTTTAACACTTGCACATTTATCTTAAGAGTACTTTTATCTCCATACCTTTATCTCAAGTACTTTTTTCAGTACATTTATCTCAACAGTACTTTCTTCTCAGTACGTTTATCGAGAGTGTACTTTCATCTCGGCACGTTTATCGAGAGTGTACTTTCATCTCGGCGCGTTTATCACAAGTGTACTTTAATCTCTGCAGGTTTATCTCGAGAGTACTTTCTTCTCAGTACGTTTATCTTGAGAGTACTTTCTTCTCAGCACGTTTATCTTGAGAGTACTTTCATCTCGGCGCGCTTATCGCGAGTGTACTTTCATCTCGGTGCGTTTATCGCGAATGTACTTTCATCTCGGCGCGTTTATCGCGAATGTACTTTCATCTAGGCGCGTTTATCGCGAGTGTACTTTCATCTAGGCGCGTTTATCGCGAATGTACTTTCATTTCGGCGCGTTTATCGCGAGTGTACTTTAATCTCTGCAGGTTTATCTCGAGAGTACTTTCTTCTCAGTACGTTTATCTCGAGAGTACTTTCATCTCGGCGCGTTTATTGCGAATGTACTTTCATCTCGGCGCGTTAATCGCGAGTGTACTTTCATCTCGGCGCGTTTATCGCGAGTGTACTTTCATCTCTGCAGGTTTATTTTGAGAGCACTTTCTTCTCGGCACGTTTATCGTGAGTGTACTTTCATCTCGGCGCGTTTATCGCGAATGTACTTTCATCTAGGCGCGTTTATCGCGAGTGTACTTTCATCTCGGCGCGTTTATCGCAAGTGTACTTTCATCTCGGCACGTTTATTTCGAGAGTACTTTCATCTCGGCGCGTTTATCGCGAATGTACTTTCATCTCGGCGCGTTTATCGCGAGTGTACTTTCATCTCGGCGCGTTTATCGCAAGTGTACTTTCATCTCTGCAGGTTTATCTCGAGAGCACTTTCATCTCGGCGCGTTTATCGCGAATGTACTTTCATCTCGGCGCGTTTATCGCGAGTGTACTTTCATCTCGGCACGTTTATCTCTAGAGTACTTTCTTCTCAGTACGTTTATCTCGAGATTACTTTCATCTCAGCACGTTTATCGCGAGTGTACTTTCTTCTCGGCACGTTTATCTTGAGTGTACTTTTTTTCAGTAAGTTTATCTCGAGAATACTTTCTTCTCAGCATGTACTTTTTTTCAGTACGTTTTTTTTTTATCTCAAGAGTACTTCTTTCAGTACGTGTATCTCAACAGTACTTTTTATCAGTACCAGTACTTTTATCTGCGTGCATTTTTGCTTCAACTTGAGTAAATTTCTCAGAGTATTATTTCCACCCCTGGTGAAGCTAACAAACATGATTTGAATGATTTGATTTCAGTGGTTCTGCTGAGGAACTGGAGGAAGAGCTCTGCTGATCAGCACCTACAGAAAAGAAAACACAAGTATTTATTACACAAATTCTACTTACATTTTATACAGAAATGATTTTGGTGGCCCACCCAAACACATTTTAATTCATCATCTTTCAAAAGTCTGTTAATAGTTAATAGTGGAGATGGAGTTGTTTCAGTTTGCACTGTACATCCTAGACCTTTGAAATCACTGGTTACCATTATTTGAGTTTCGTCCAACACAGAATTATGATAAAAAAAATCTAATGGAAACTGAGACACTGAAGAAACTTCACCTGGTTGTTGAAGAAACAACTAATTAGGATTACACCAATTATTTTCATCATACAACAATTAATCATTATCAAACAATCCATTGCTTTTTTCAATAATCAATTATATGTCCATTAAATTTCATAAAATGGTTGAACAATCTGTTTGCTCATTTAGGAGATCCTAACTTTTGACTGGTACTGTTTGCTCCCCTGGGGTCACCAAGGGAACCAGACAACGTTTGGCTTTTTAGTTTGATAAATTACTTTAACAAATAATCCATTATAATAATGGAAGGTGTTTTAATATTCTCTCAGTCAATTAATCACTTAATCCACCAATTTCAGTATTGAAATACTGATGTGATGTGATTGTTAACAGTCCCAGTTCGGGCTAAAACGTCCCTGCCAAGAGAACATTAGGACTGTCTCAGGCTGTTTACTTCACAAAAACAGCTTTGGAGTTCAAAACATTTAAGACTCACTTCCTGGTGTCAGTCTTGAAACCAGTGGCCTCATAGTAATGTACTCATTTTGTAAAGGATGTAAATAAAAATAGTTTGTCTGAGGAGACAAAAAAGCTGTTCAGACTCTAATTAGAGTCCGATCAAAGTATCTGTTGTATTGATGTCAGCACATTATGAATATGTTGATACAATCGATTATTTAGACTTACCTTTCTTCCTACGATTTAGAATGTACTTCACGAGTAGAAATACAGCTAGAGGTGCAGCAACAGTTAGAACTCCAGAAAACCATCCATGCTGGAACCATGGCAGGACTTGTCTTCAAAGAGTTTCTCTGAAACAATCATAAAAACCTGGTGTGACACTCAGAATGGACGTCTATGTAACATTATGAACATTATGTAACACACTGGTTATAACCTACAATGAAACAACTCGGGTCCCTGCTCCATGAAAAGTAAAACGACACAACATGCAGAGTAAAACCACTGAGGGAGATCTTACTTGGCACAATGATCTCAGCATTAACAACATGGCCGATGTTCTCCTGCTTGGCGACACAGTGGAAACGGTTGGTCGTGATCGAGGTTACAGTAGTTTGGAGGGTAATGCTGTAGCGGCCTCCTCTCTCTGACACCCGTGGCTCCTCAGCAGGAAGGACCTTTCCATCACTGTCCTGCCACTGCAGCGTCGGCTGTGGAAAAGCCCCCTGAACCTCACACTTCAGCTGCACCCCGTCGTCAGTGACGTCATAGATGGAGACGTACGGCTTTGGAGAGGCACCTGTGAAAAGAGGATTAATAACAACTTACAAAAGGTCAATTGCAGTGTAAATTATATTCTTCCATGTTTTTGTGTTTGTCTCTTTTTTATAAATACAATAAACTGTATTTCAGAGACAAAACTCAAACACTGTGAGAGGACATGACTTTTCATAAATGTTTACCTTCTTCCAGATTCTTGAAGACTGTTCACCAAGTTTATGACAGGCAGATAAAAAGATCCTACTTTTGTCAAAAAGGGCTGATGTGATTTTTAGATTGTGACCCACAGCGTCCTACCTTTAAAGACCAGCTGAAATCAAAGGTGAGTCTTGATTTTTAATGATGTCAATGATTTGTAAAATCATCTGCAATGTGTATGCAACAACTTTGTCACCCAGTTTTTGTGTCCAAACAACTTGAAACATTGTAGATGTAGAAATCGGTGACAAAGTCAGGACTCACCACAGTTTTTTTTCTTGTCTGTATTTACAATAGAGCACTGTAACACTAATAGATATTTAAATAAAATATTTTTTATCTTATTAAATTTAGATCTCAAAATAAAAATCTCATAATCATGAGATTTATTCATATCAATTGTCAAGAGGAATTCAACTTGTACATAGGACCTGCTTTGATTTTTAATTGTGATTAAATACCTTATTTTTGGAGGAAAGTAAAAACACTTTAAATATTTTGTCTAATCAAACATCACTGGGGACCTTATGACTATAAAGAACCAAATCAAAGCGTCAACCTGCTGCTGTGTAAGAATAATAACAACCATCATGGATTTTAGTTTTTGAATGAGACTGCGGCTTAGAGACCAGAGAACTGCACACACATTACAGGTATATAGATCTGTGACATCATCACTCACCTCGGATTTCCGATGCTCGGTCTTTGAAGGTAAGTTCTGAAAGGCAAAAATTTTAATTATTTTTTGGCCCAATTTTATAATTAAATAAAACACTTGGATCGTTTCATGTCCCACCAAGATGAAATAAGGAAATAAAGAACATTTTTGCTCACACTGCAGGTGGTTTGTCATCACATCATTTAATCCATCTTCACCTGATTAATAGGGAAATGTATGCAGCAAGGTCCATCAAAATCTAATAAGATTGTCTGTTAGAGTTATTGTATTTACAAAAGTGTGTCTACAGAGTCACAGAGTACTGCAGTGGTGGGACATAGAAATCTAAAGTGGGGCGGGGAAAACATGAGCAGAGGTGCTAGTTCACACAGCTAAAAGCCATTTATTTAATGAGTGAGCTTCATGTTTAGAAAATCATCTAGTAACTAGCTCAGGAGGTGGAACTGATTAGCCAAGACTCTGACAACCAGTTGCATGTTTGCTCATTTGCTTTGTTGCAGAGAGTTAGGTAAGTATGTTCAACAACACTCTTGTGTTGTACAATAAATATGATGCTACAGCCAGGAAGCAGTTAGACTACTTTAGCGTTAACACTGAAAAGAAAACATCTCTTGGCCGTCTTACACCCCTCAACTTCCTGTGGAGCTTTCGTTCGTCTTGTGCGTCTGTAAGAGGATGCGTGGCATACACAGTCCTACCACTGGTCTCACACTGTTCCACTTATCTACAAGTGGTGGTAACACACAAGGATATGCCACAATGCAGGGAAGAAAAAGACTGCAAGCTAGTAAACATGGATGCAGGATTCAGGGAATGCGCTCCACACATTTGTTAGACCTCAAGAAAACACACAAGACATTTTAGTGAGTGACACTGAATGTACAAGAAAACTCCACTCCTCTAAGCCCACTTAGTCCAGTTAGCACATACATAACAAGGGGTTGGACCATGCAGCATCAGTTTTGTTCGCATGCAATCTCAACTTAGGTGGCCGAGTGCTGAGCAGAGGCGAACAGCAAAATTCCCACCAGTTGCAGATCTTACAGGGAGGCGACAGAATAACCTGCGAGGCACCGACTCCACGTACGAGAAGGAGAAGGTAAAGGAGGAAGAGAAAGAAAAGTTTGATTTTGCTCTAGTGCAACTCTAGTACTGCAGTAGGCAGTATATTGACAAGTCTGAAAGTGGAGTTGTATCATGACAAGATATTAAGTATGATACAAATATGACCATCATGACAGAAAACACTACACACCAGTTAGTTCTGTCTGTAACACATTTGTGAACTTTTTTATTAAAATACTCACGAACAACAAGCTGAATGTTGTATATTTCTCCTCCTGGCTTAAGATGTGGAAAAGCACAGGTGTAGTCTCCGCTGTCGGCCATCGTTGTGTTTCGGATAACTATGGAAGCGTTGCCATACTTCAGTTGTTCTTGAAAATGTGAGATCCGTCTGCTGAACTGCTCATCCTGACCTGATAGGTCATTATTGTAATGAATCCCTGCATCGTACATGAACACCTCCATCTGACCATCTTTCTTCCAGTCAAACAGCTTTGACTCAATGTTCTCCTTGGTACTAGGAGAACAGGGTAAGATGGCGTCATTCCCTTCTTCAGCGACCACTTTGACAACACCCATCCCTGAAAAAAGAAGAAGAGGAGTATTTTAATCATTATGTTTAAATGGAGAAAAATCATGTTAAGCAAAAATCAGGTAACATGCTATTCCAACAGTATGATCATTTTGGAAGATGCAGTTTGTGATGCTGGTAAAGTGTCCTGCATTAACCAGTATAGAGAGATGATTCTGTCTGTCTATACAGACACACACTATGTCGAGCATTTCAGTTTAACTCAATAAAATATAAAATTATGATAATGTGATTTTTGCTGAGTTCTGTACCAAACAAGCATATTCCCTTACATGTGAAGAATATAGAGTATGATTTGAGGGCTGGGGCGTCTCTGTATCACCACAACGCTTCGTCTATGGACTGTTGTGACATATTTCACCAAACAAGCGGAGACTCAGATTCAGAAAACTTTATTAATCCCAAGAAGGGGAATTTCTTTGCAGTTTACCCAGACCTTACCCACAACTTAAAAACTCACAGGCAAAATAGTTATATGTCAGAGGCAACAGATCAACAGATGTGAGTCAATACATCGAACAACAAGCAGCAGTTTTTGATAGGTTAAGGTCGCAAAAGTTATCATCACACAATTTCACTAAAGTCAGGTAGGGCACAGCCATGATCTGACCCTGAGCAAATGAAGAAGAGATAATAGGGCGATGTCATGGCAGAACTTCACAAGGTGGCTGCCCTTTCGAGAAGTCCTGCAGACTGGACACAACCCCATTTTGATCTGCACCTGGTCTAATGCGGTCAAGATGCAGAAAATCAGCAGTGACATGCCCCTTTATTAGCATTTTCACAAATGTGTACAAATAAAGCTGCCGACCGCTCAGCTGTGTAAGTTAAGCCTCCTCCTTCAGCGTCGTTGGGCAAAGCCCGTAGTTGATGAAAGACATTCACCAAGGCCATTAGCCACCGTACAGGCCACAGCTAGCTGCCGGGATTTGAGTTTGTTGTCTCATGTCTCTTACCGTGTCCATGTCCCCATGTTGTTCCAGCCGAAGACAGCAGACAGACGAAGGCAGACAGAAGCGTCGAAGTCCTCTGGCTAACCATTGTGTTAGCTAGTTGTTTGTAGCTCTTCAGGGCTAACTGTTGTTAGAATTAACCCAAGCTAACTAGTTGCTACTTGCTAGCTGCGACGTTGACAGACGAATGCGCAAAAAATAAATTGACAGTTGAAACTCTTTAGCACTTGTATAATTCACCTAGTCAAAAATCATCTAATCAATTTGTATTTAACCAGAGTTAACCTCGAAAAGTAAAACTTCGCAGTTGTAATGTTCACAGTGAAGTTAGACAGGAAGCTCGTACAGGAAGTAATTGCGTCACTGCTGACGTCACCATCCCCAGATCTGCCCCAGAGGGAAAATGAGTTCCCTGGGCCATGCTGACTATACTCCATCCCTACACGACGTTTGCTGCAAATCAGTTCAGTAGTTTTTGCTTAATCCTGCTGACAAATTAACAGGAATGGGTGAAAACTTATTGTCCTCGGTGGAGATAAAAAAAAAGGAACTCTTCACTGTCTTTTTTTAATCAAATGATTCTCAATGTGCATAAAACTAAGGTTTATGTGTATTATGATTATGAACACTGAGGCGTCTGGTCAGCCTACTGGACTGGTGATTTCAGATCTTGATTCCCAATTAAATATTTTTAATCACAAATTCTAGTTTTCAAATCTTTTGTTTTACCAATATGAAGTAAATTAAAAGGCCATTTAAATTTATTAACTGCAAAGTGTTCCTACATGAAAAAGGAAAAATACCAAATGTTAAGCAGTTAATTTAATTTATTTTATTTGACAGGAACAATGCAAATTAATAACGTTTCTGAAAACATGCCAGTGTGAGGCAGAGAGGCTAATTTGCATCTATAGTCCTTGGGCAAGCAACAGTTAAAGAGGCACAAACGTTAAGAATAAATAAAAGCATAGAAGTTACAATAAACAACAACGGAAGTTGAAATAAATACAAACAAAGCCTGCACTATTTAAAGACAAAAAGGCAAATTTATTTACACTTATTCTCACTTTACATCAGCACCTTAAAAAAAAAAAGAGGCAACACATGATTGTCCCAAATAATGTGAATGACAGATTTCAAATTAAAAAAATAAAAGGCACATTATGTTTCACTTTAGCTACAAAATTATCACTGCAATTTAAAGCAGAGTAGCAGGGTTTACTTCAGTGATTCTGATGTTTGTGTCAATGTCCACGTCAAACTCAGTGAACAGCTACAAGCAGTTTGATAATATTTAATCAATGGATTCATTCATATAGAGCTTTTATTCAAAGAGCTTTACAATGTGTCTCTGTCACTCACACACTCACACACTGCCCCCTCCTGGTCCTGCTGCAGTAAGACAGGCACTGCAGGTCAGCTAAAGCCTTTATACATTAGTCTGTCATTAAACCACACCTTCACTTAAAAACTACCTGTTGGACCAAACAAAATGCCCCAAATTTACCATTTCTTCACACCTTTGGTCTAAAGCTTGAACTTTTATTCAAAGAGCTTTACAATGTGCCTCTGTCATTCACACACACTGAGCTTTCAACACTTTAAAACTCAGCATGAAAAATCAGTTGAATCATTCAAGTTGGTTCTTAAAAGTCACTTTTATCACAAGTTCAATCAGGTCCCTTTTTAACTGGGTCCATTTTAATTCTGCTGTGAGTTACTCAGGAGTGAAACTCACTCACGTCAAATCCAGGATTCAACAGAAGATTCATTTATAATCGGCTCCGTCAGCATTAAAGTCCACGTTCTCTCTGCTGCTGTCACCATGGTAACTGCAGTCTGTCTGCTTCTTTCTGTCACCAATCTGTCTCTATGTAACTGACCACTGTGTAATGCTAACGCTGGATCTGCATGTGGCTCTACTTTTAATAACAACAATAACTTTATTTATAAAGCACTTTTCAGAACAGAGTTACAAAGAGCTGTACAGACATCAAAACAAAAGAAAGTAATAAAAGACACGGAGAAGAGGGAAAGTGTTGATTAGCGAGGAAAACACAACAGGGAAAATTAAAAATATGTTAAAACAATGAATCAATAAAGTGGACAAAGGAAAATAAAATCAAAAGTAAAAACCAAAAATAAAAGCATCTTTACTGTAGGACCCATAGTCATTCATATTCAGGTCCATATTAAACAAACCAGTAAATGAATTCATGACCTCATCACCAGATTCACATCTGCACTGGATCCTTCTGTAAAACCACATTTTATATCAGTGATGATGTTTTGAGGAATAATTATACTGTTAATTAATATATAAAACTGTTGGTATTTTTTTACTTATTTTGACAATATTACCAAGGCAACTAGAGCAGGTTAAGGCACAGCCAAGATTAGATAAATTATAATTATGTAGAGTTCAGGTCAGACTGTTTAGATTCATTTTGAAGACGAGGGAGGACTTAAAAAAACCTGCTGCCATACGTCCAGTTTACATCTAATGTAACAAAAAGCTTCAAATAAAATCAGCAGAAGAAACATGATGGAAATCTGACATTTCTGTTTGTTTCATGTGTTAATGTGATGAAGGCTCCAGCCTCTTCATCCTCACTCCTCACAGATCTGATGTTTTCATCTCTTCACTAAAAGGACGTTTAAATCCCACCTGCAGGAGGGAAAACTTCAGCAGCTTCACAGGTAAAGGTGAGGCTCTTCATCAGGGACACTTGTCTTTGATTGACCTGCAGGAGGGAAAACAAAATTATATTCAAGAAAATCCAAGTGAGCTGATCTCACCCTGAGAGTAAATAACAACAGAACGCTGCTCGTCTGAGAAGATGAACACAACTGTCAGACTCTGAACATCAGATACATGAAAACACTTTGTTGTTTTGTTGTTTCTTCATTATGAAAATGTTGAGACAATAACTTATTTAAACTTACCTTTACTACATTTAATGAAGCCCTTGGCTCTAAGCACAGCTAGAAGAACACCAACTAAAATAACACCAAGGACTCCTGCAACAATCCATCCAGTGTGACTCTCTGAAACTGAAAACACAGAAAGTCAATGTGAGACTCAGAGTGTAACTTCACATCATGTCCATCAGACTGGACGTCACAGCTTCACAAAGAGAACAACTAACTGTGTTCATGCTCCTATGATCTACAGTGATGAGCAGATGAAAACAGCACTGGGATGAATGTCACCAGGCACAGTGATGTCAGCACGGATCTCACGGCCTCTTTCCTCCTGCTCGGCTGCACAGCTGAGAGCTGGGTTCTGGTTCTGGTCTCAGTAGTGAGGAGGGTGATGCTGCAGCTTCCTCCTCTGTCTGAGACGTGTTGTTCATCAGTAGGAAGGTGTTTGAATCACTGTCCTGCCACCTCCACTTTAGGCTGTTTACATGTGACTTCTGCTTCACTCCTGCTGTGTCTGAGATCTGAAACTGTGTGTGACAATCTGTCTACAGCCCAGGTTTTCTACACCCTGAGCCCAGGCTGTGATGGACTCTGGATCACCTCTTGTCAGCACATCTTCATCTCATGATAGTTGTTGTTACAGCCAGTACTGATGAGCTTTGTTAAACAGATCAGCCTCTGAGCTCGGGTCGACGCTTCACTCAGAATAAATGAAGCTAAAAGCTGAGAGACGTCTGAAGCTTTTCTTGGAGCTTCAGTGAGAAACCTCTCAGTGTGTTTACTGTGCTGACATGAACACAGAGAAACAAAGAGGAGTTGTTGCTTCATTCACTGGAGAACAATCTAAGTTCAGCCTGTTGACACTGACAACTTCTGCTGTCAGGAAGCTGCAGCAGAGTCACACATCTGGCTGGAGATCACAGCTGTATATCACACTGTGACACCACATGTGTCCTCTACAGCCTGAAGCTTCTCTCATACAGCACCTATGATTGGTTCAATCAGCCCACCTGCTTTAGTGAGCTGCACACAGTCACATTCAATACAAACCACAGCCAGATGTTAGTGAAGGAGTCAAGTGGTGAACATCTGTTAACTCCTGGTTTCAGGTTCAGACAGAGGAGGAGGATTTGAAAACTAATAACACATGAACATTTACAATTAACTGAATATAAAAATATGACTTAGACAAAGCTCACCGTTGATACGAACATAGATCTGAGCATGAACCTGATGTCTGATTTCCTCCTGTGTGGCTACACAGCGATAGGTGTCGGTCTTGGTCACAGTAGTTTGGAGGATAATGTCGTAGCTGCCTCCTCTTTCAGAGACCTGTGGTTCTTCAGCAGGAAGAGTCTTTCCATCACTGTCCTGCCACTGGACATCAGGTTTGGGTGAAGCACCTCGAACGACACATTTCAGCAGCGCCCAGTCATTTCCTTCATCCAGTGTTGTGACAGACGGCTCTGGAGCTGCACCTGTGAACATCAACATGAACGTATGAAGAACATTTTCAGGACGGCAACAAATTAAAGGAAGAACCAGAGAAATGACAGAGAAACAGGACGACAGCGTCTCCATCCACAGACCACCAGGGGGCACTGAAGGTCTGATGAGACTGAAAATGATGTGGATCAGAAACTGTGACCTTCACTGTCACCAGATCTCCACCCAGTTGAAAACCTATGGTAGATTTTAGAGCCAGGTGTCAGACAGCGCTCTCCACCACCATCATCAAAACACCTGATGAGGGAATATCTTTATGGAGAATGTGTTCATCCTCCAGTGGAGTTCAGACACTTGGAGAATCAATGACAAGGAGCAGTGAAGATGATCTGGCTGAATGTGGTGACCAAAACCTGACTGAGACACTTTCTGTTGCTTTTTCCTTTAAATGGTCACAAGTCTGTGTCAGACCAAGATCTTTAGTTCCACCTTCTCTGCTTGTATATGTGGAGTAAAGTGTGTTTAAGAGGAAACACAAAGGAAGAGAAAGAAAAAGAGAAAATCACAGTTTGAACCTCAAACACCATCCCAGCTCTGTTTGATAGGACATGCTACATCCACTGAACTCAACTGGAAAAACACTGTTTCTGACTCGTCTAATGACAGAAGCAAATATACAGTTTGGAAAACACTTGAATTTCTGATCAGTTTCTGTTTCACTCAATTGATCTTGAAATGAAATCGTGTCAAATTTGTTGTTTGAGATGTAAAAGAATGTGTTATAAAACATTGAACTCATGGTCTTCAAAGTATGAGCTGCTCTTCTGTTCTCAGGGCTTCACTGTGTCAGTGAGACACTCAGTGTTCACTTTATTAGGGACACCTGTACAATCTAATACCATCCAACACAACTGTTGTGTCATGAAGTCGACTTCTATGATGCTGATAATGTTCAGTTTTCTGACACAGTCATAGAGGTGTTCATTCACTTCTATGTTTTAGCATTGAGCTCAGAGTCAGTGATGGTGTTGTACTGGACTGTGTTATATTCAGAGGTGTTCCTAATATTCTGACCCCCTCATGTTTGTAAACAGGGAGGACAGAACAATAGAAACACCTCTCAGTATAATGTAGTCCAGTACAACACCACCTTTAACTATGAGCTCAGTGACAAACACAGAATTCAATCCACACATTTCTGACAAAGTCCACACAAACTGAACATTAGAAACTTTGTAAAGGTGAATTTATGGCAGAGCTGTTGGACTGAACTGCAGGAGATTGTACAGGTGTACCTAATAAAGTGTCACTGAGTGTCTCATGCTGTGTGTGTGTGTGTGTGTGTGTGTGTGTGAGGTGAATTGTGAAGCTCTAGATAAAGTCATTGTGTAAATGCAGCATTTATCAGTTTGTTTTTCTGAGGTTCAGCTAATAAACTGTTGACAAAGTGTAAAATGTAATTTTGAATATTTGTTCTTCATTGGGCAGGACAGTTTGTTTTTCCCACATTACCTTCTGCCCACTCCCATAATGCATCTGTCCATGATCCATACCTGCTTAGCACAATAAGGATAAAATCCTGACAATGAAACTTAAAAAACCTTCTAGATCAGTAAAATCTGAACAGATCAAAGTGATGAACAGATTAAATGTCTCCATCCATTAAGTGATGTAGAATTACTCTCATGTCAAATAGAACTGGAGACGTAAAGAGTGACGTCATCACAATCAGGACTCACATGGGATGTTTTCCTCTCTTCTATCTTTTAAGGGACCATCTAAAAGACAAAGACAAAACAAAAGTTAGTTTGTGTGATATCATCAACTGAGCAGACAGGTAACAGAAACAGGAATTTATTACAACTACAGTCGTAGAGTCAGAAGAGACTCGACTGCTGAAGGTTCATTGAGCAGAACGACATAATCTACAACGTGTCACAGATACTGAACGTTTGATACAAAGGGAATCAGTCCAGATGTGACTGCAGCGCTGTGGGGACAAGGTCCTGCCAGATGTGTATTCTGACTATTTGATGAAAGTCCATGTGGGACTCTTAAACCAGTCTCATCTGTAAATAATCAGCTGTGTGATGAAAGCACTCACCAACAAGAAGCTTCATGAGGAATTTTTGATTTGAAAGATGTTTAAATTCACAGGTGTAGTTTCCACTGTCAGCCACCGTCGTGTTTCTGATCGTTATGGAGGCGTTGCCATTCTTCAGTTCTCCAGGAAAATGAGAGACACGACCTTTGAACTGCTCATGTTGACCGGATAGACCCTGACTGTAATCAAGGCCTGAATCATACACATACACCTCCTTCTGACCGTCTTTCTTCCAGTCAAAGCGCCGTGACTCAATGTCCCCTGTGATGGAACAGGGTAAAGTCACATCACTCCCTTCTGTCACTTTGATGATCTCTGGTCCTGGAAGATAAAAACATGTATTAATCAGTATGTTTACCTGCAGGGTAATTAAGTGAAGACAGACGTGTCTGTTGTTAAAACAAAACATCAACTGATGATAAAACAAGAAAGTTAGATTGTCCTCAGAAAATCCTCTGAACTGTCAGACTGTATATTTACACTTGTTCCTTTCTTTCTTTCTTTCTTTCTTTCACATGTATTTATCATTTTCTATCTGGAGTTTTTATCTTTTATACTTCTTCAACAACATTTAAAAAAGAAAGAAACATCTGTCTTTTGTCTGTTTGCAAATAAAACTAGAGCTTTTATTTTGACATTGTTCCTCAGCCTCCTGGTATTAACACATTTTAATGACAAAGACGTGTTGAACAAGAAGAGGGAGAAAAACAGACTAAAGAAGAAAAAGCTCCTTCATCCTGAAGGTGTTAGAAAGAGCATTTCTGAAGGAGAAATTGTGCATGTATGAGACTTCATAAGGAAAACTCTTTTCTGTCCCTTTAGCTGTTTAATTATTTCATTTCATTGTATTAATTGTGAATCAACAGTTGCTAAATAAACAGGTTTACATCCACAGATGTCCGTCATCATCAGAGTTTCTGTCCACTGGCTCCACCGAGGGGACTCATCCTTTCATTACAATGTTTTTAATTTACTGGATTCTGGAAAAGCTTCTGACTGAAAACCTGAGTCTTTTTTTAACCAACATATTATAAATCCTCACAATCTCCATCTTTTATTTTGGTTCACATTGTGAAAATCTTCTGAAATAGAGTCTCAGTTACAGAGAAACAGCAACGTCTACATGTTGCCTGTGACTTTAGTATCCTTGTAAAAACTGCTGGTACCTGAGGACAGGTAATATGGTGGAGTTTTCTGATAACAATTTGATTCAATATTTTTATCACATTTTTAACATATACCTAAAACTGCAGAGGATAATGCTATTATGTTCTAATTATTTGAAATGATTGGGGAAAAGAACAAACGTTTATTGACAGTTTAGTTCAGTAATTTATTTTTAACAGAAATGGTTTTTAACAACCAGAGTTACATTATAAGATACAGCCTGGTGGATTTACATCTGGTCCCTGTGGAGGAGGAGATTTTTAAAAAAGACATAATGGTAGAAAAGCCATACTTTGCATGATAGTAGCTCCTTACAATTTTTTTCGATTGCATAAACACTAAAATCAAAAGTATCACACAATTATCAAAACCTTACACTCAAGGAGCAAAAGATCGGCCCAGATTTGCACCACTATCAGCACAATGTCTGCCTTTTTGCAAAACAATACACACAGTGATTTGCAAAACACTAAACACACTTGTATACATTAGACACAGAAGTATATCATGATGTCAATTCCTTGCAATTCCAAAGCACTGACTGTCAAATTACCACATCTATGAGCCAAATGGTTAAACACAACCATCAGGTGCGCAAACACGATTGCTTAATTGTAGTCACACCAATCAGGTTTAAGCACTATAAAAATGCAGCACATGAGTTCACCTGTCTTCAACCAAAATGAAAGGAGTCAGAAGAAGAGTGAGGGTGAGAGGGGGAATCCACAGCAGAGGAGAAGGAGGTGGAGGAGAGGAAGAGGAAGACCTGAAGCAGGAGGAGAACGCACTCAAAGAAGAAGAGGGCCAAATTTATCAAATGAAATTCGCGCAACACTAGTTGACCATGTTGTGAACCACGGACTGACGCTGAGGGAGGCTGGACTAAGACTTTATCTTAGCAGATATACAGTGGCATCTGTCATTAGGACATTTCGACAAGAAAAGAGGTAAAAAATAATCTGTCAGCTACAGTAACCAGCTGCTTATTGTACGCACCGTATCAGCACTTTTGATACCCCTTCCTGTGACATTTTACAGTAGGTTACATGTATTTGTTTCTACATGGGATTGAGGGTCACGAACGACAAAGAGGAAGTGCGCCCATATTCACGCAAGAACAAGAGAGAGAGCTCATAAACATGGTTCTGGCCAATAATGTTATCAGGCTCAGAGAAATTCAAGCCAACATTATTGGTGACCATCCCATTTTCAATAATATCCCTCAGGTCTCTCTGTCAACACGGGCACGCATCCTGAAAAGACATCAGGTTCAAATGAAACAACTTTATCGAGGGCCTTTTGAGCAGAATTCATAAAGGGTCAAACAGCTGCAGCATGAGTATGTGGAGGTATGTATTGTTCACTTTAGCACTGTGATGTTGCACACTGCACACGTAACCTTTTCACATGTAAATTTACTGTAAACTAGATCTATGCTGAACGACACAATCTTGTCTTTCACTGTATTTCAGAGTTTTACAGATGGATGCTGAGGAAATCCTGCATGAGTTTATAAACATGGATGAGGCAGGGTTTAACCTCACAACAGGAAGAAGAAGAGGCAGAAATATCATTGGCCACAGGGCTATGATCAATGTCCCAGGGCAACGTGGGGGTAACATCACCCTTTGTGCTGCCATTACACAGAATGGGGTCCTCCTCCGTCATGCCAATATGGGCCCTTACAACACACCTCACATTCTCACATTTTTGGACCGATTGCACAACATCGTCACAGCAGCAAACCAAATGCACCAGATGCAACACAGTGTCATCTGGGACAATGTGTCATTCCATCGCTCTGCTCTGGTGCTGAACTGGTTTCAACACCATCCACAGTTTGAGTACTATACTTCCACCATACTCTCCGTTTCTAAACCCAATGGAAGAGATTTTCTCTGCATGGCGGTGGAGGGTTTACGATCTCCCCAGGCTCAGGTACCCCTCATTCAGACCATGGAGGAGGCCTGTGACCAAGTCCACGCCGCAGCTGTGCAAGGATGGATTCAACATTCAAGACAGTTCTTCCCACGTTGTCTTGCCAATGAGGATATCGCCTGTGATGGTGATGAAATTCTCTGACTAGATCCAGCTAGGAAAAGAGATAATGTCTAGTATTTTCTGTACTGTATTTTTTATTTTTTTTCAGATTAATTTTTTTATTTTTGACTGTAATTGTAACCTGTACTGGACACAGTATTTTATGTTTGTCTGGTATTTGCTGAGCTGACAGTGTTATGCACGCAACATAAATAAATTATTATTATTATTGTTATTTTCATCAATCTGCAGCATTGGTCTTGTGTAGTGTTTGGTGAATTTATTGTTATTTGCACTTTCTCTGTACTTCGCTTACAGTGCCCTAATCACTGAGAAGTATAATTGCTAAAGGTGTTTTAGGTTAAGCACAGCAGTGTGTAACTGGTTCAAGTTCAAACAGAATTAAGTCTCGTGAAACGTGAAAAACCGGCCCTGTTTCCAAATCTGTGCTTAGCAATCGAAAAAAAACTATAATACACAGTGATGTATGTAAACAAAGGAACATTAGAAAGAAATAGAAACTTTCCCGTTATAAACAAACTCTGTGGCAGTTCGATGGTAGATTGCTGAGTTTGTGAGGTGAATATAAAAGGACCATGAAGTCCGTGTCGCTTTACCGTACAAAGCGATATAGACGCGCACTCGAGTTTTAGGGGAAGATAGCTCGACCGCGCCTCTCGGAAGTGCAGATGGCCTGACCGCAGTCTCTCTTACCTTGCACATCTCCCCATGTTGTTCCAGTCAAACACAGAAGACAGATGAAGGCGGACAGAAGCGTCGGAGTCCTCGGGCTAACCATTGTATTCGCTAGTTAGTGTGACAGCAGTGCTAGCACTTCAAGGCTAACAGTTGTCAGTTAGCCCAACTAACGGCTAACTAGTTGCTACTTCCTCGTAGACGTTAACGGTTAAATTCCCAGAAGTAATTGGCAGGTGA